TCCATATGTTTAAAAATGCCATACCCTTCACCTCTGTACATACAGAAGTTACATGCACCCAGTCCAACTCCACACATACCCACTGGTGACTGAACCATTTGAGATAGACTGTTGGGGGATGGGGGAAAGAGGTTGGAGAGGATTAAAAAACAAAACAATAGGCATGCGTAATATTTGCCGAATGAGACACTTTGCTCTGTATTTTGTTTTAGTGTGGGGGGGAATCATAATTGTATTTAGACTTTACATGGCACGGGTTACTCAGTTCACAGCAGAGGCACCTGCAGCAAATTAATTTGTTGTAGCACGTTAATTATCTCATAGCTTCTATTTAGGCTGCAGCTGTTGCTATTATGTTAGTAATATTTTTTATCACCACTGTATACAACAGGTTATGAAAATAATAGAAATATCTCTTTCTTTGGCTCCAGCTCCACCCCTTGTCGTTTCCATTTTTCTATGTCAGAAGGGAGGGCTGAAAGAAATTTAGGCAAATTAAGCTCCAAAGTGCACTATAATTTTCTATTTCTGAACCGATTTGTAAGAGAATGGGTAGCTGAAATTACCAAAGAATCACCCCACACAAAGATGGCGCGTGCAGAATTTGTGAAAGCGAAAAAGAAGAGGAAGGAGAAGCACAAGAGGGACGGAATACTGCAGTGCTGGGGTGGTGAGTGTTTGGATGGGGGCAGGGAAAATGCTGCAGTTTTCATGAAATAATAAGGTGGGGGAAAAAAAGGCATACAAAGAGTAGGTTTTTCATTGTTTGTAAAATATAAACACAGATGAATTCTGTCTTTGGTTTGTTCATGCTTTTCACTCTGCACAGCAGGGATGTTCTTAAGAAGTTGCCCTCTGCGAAATTTCACTAAATGGGAACCGTGGACCCTGCATGATGGGATTATAATCACACCAGCCACTCCTTTTACATAATTTTTTGTTTAAGATCCAGTAAGATCCCCTGTTTTTAATATATATAAAGCAATAGACATGCATAGGTCGATAAACACAGTTTGCATCCCCATAGCCTAGTACAAGCTAAAACAAAAAAAACGGTGATATCATACCTACAAATCTCTATGGATTCAAAAACAATATGAAAATTTTTAGCTGACAAGAACATGTCTGCTGCCTGCAGTCCCTGCAATAGCTCACCATGTTGCCTACTAACCGAAAGATAAAAAATTATCGATTTCATGGCGCTGCGTGCTCTGGAAAGAAAAAGCTACTTTAAAATTTGCATTGTTTAGTAAATGAGTTAAAAGAAAAGAATCATTTTTTTCCTGAACACTTTGGAATGTGGAAATGGCTTGTTTTAATCTTATCCATGATTTACTATAATTCTATTATTTTTAGCAGCTGGAGTCCAGAAATGATTTTTTTCGATGAATTTAGGATTTTGCCGCAGTATGCATCTGCAGTCCCAGAATCCTCCGGTAAATTAATCCTTCTAGCGATGGGAAACGCCTTTAACCTTCCTGTGAATAAAATATCTGCAACTATCTTGAAATGTTTAATAGAGAGGTGTGTGCGTTTTGTGCGTGTGTGTTGGGGGTGGGGGTAGTTCTCCAAAGCATGATCTCATAGCTATGCAGTGGTACTTGCCTTAGTGCTCAGAAGCACTGAGAGCCATATACCTTTGTCTGCTTTGAGTACCATGGATATCTCTGTTAGAGCCTCTTCTTCACACTTTCTACGGTAGCCATTAAACGCACTTCCGTAGCATGGCAAGGAATGTTGTGTCAAACCAGTGAAGGCCTCGAGAACACACAACTCTAAGCATGGAAAGTGTTCCTGGCATGACTAAAGTGGCCATGGATATTAACTGCCGCTGCAGCCGCCACCGCCACCACCATGGCCATGGTTCCCCATCGTCTGCACTGCCCCTCCCAGCTCTGCAACGCACACCAGATGCAAGCTTTCCACAGTGACTCTGCCGAATTTGCCCAGTGGGTTCCTAGACTACTGTGTGTGAGAATAGCCAAACACGTAGTCTGACAAGAGGTATTTACAACTACTTAGCCTGCTCAGCTGGAAAGAAATCGGAAGATAACACTGAACCCTGAGATGATGTTACTGCAAACCGAAAGTCCCAATCCATAAATAGCCTACTTGATGAACTGCTAAATGAAAAGCTGATCCTGATTATTGTCTGGTGCTTTCATTGTCAAAAAGAAATCTTTTTAACAGGACTGCTTAGAGTTGGGATTTATTGTTTATAGATGCATGGAATATTATTTAGCCTTACCTGTCTTCTGGGAGAGGATTCTTCCCGAGGAGATCCAGATAGAGAGTCCAGAGGAGACCACACCCTGGTTTCCCAGCTCTCATTTTCTACTGTTTCTGTCTACTTCCAAGCAGGGTTGATTAACAATAACAATTATGTATTGATTTAGGGGACTTAATCACAAAGAGCTGGTCATTCATTTCCCTCTCTCCAAAGGGAGCTCATTGTTTCAGGGCTCAATAATGTTTAATTAATGGACTTGATACTTAACTATCCAAAAAGTGAGCAGGTCTTTACAGTGCTGGCTTAATCAGTGTGTCTGTCTGAGGTGCACAATTTGGGCATTTTTTCTTTCCTCAAAGGTAATTCAAAATGTAAGTCTTCATGAAAGGGCACTGTAAGTTCAAGTTCCATGTAGCCATTGCTTGGTGTGCCAGTGAGCTGATAGGACAGGCAACACTTCCTCTGTTAAACCAGCGGGAGACATTTTTGGTTTCTAGGAATACAGACTGAAATTTAGAACTATTTGTCATTTGCAGTTTTTTTTAATTCAGCCTTTGTATTTAAATGGATTGATTTATGTCAAACTCAAGTGGTTGGCTCCAGAGGACATAAAAAGATAACTTTTTTATGAAACATATTTTCCCTGGGCAATTTTTTAAAATCATTTTTACAAAATCACTTTCACCAACTCATCAATATTTTGATGCTTGTATTTCTCCTTGGTTTATAGTGGTATTTGTTTTCATTTCACAGAAGGTATTTATATTTTTGGAGAAATAATTAGAATAATTTCCATTTTTTGAGAGAAGCAAATAAATATTTAAAGCAATTTGTTAAATTCAGCTGATTTCTTTTAATGCTAGTCACCCAGTAATTCTTCAGTACACTTAAATTTCTTGGGAAAAACAGCTTGCTGGGTTGTTGCAAATTAAACATTTCCTTCAATAACATGTTTGCTTAAGGTATTACTAGGAATTTAGAAATATTAATTATAAAGTTATACTGATCTATTTAGATTACAGAAAAATGCTTGAATTATTTTGACATCAGAAGAGAAAAATACAAATATAGCAGAATTTTCATCCTTTAGATGTTCTAATGGTGCAAGTATCTTTTAACCAGTTTTAACAGTGTGCCCCATGCAGCAAAAGAAACTGAACATAGAAAAAGGAAACATCAAAAAACAAAACAAAAAAAACCTCATGCTAGTATCTAATTTTAAATGTATGACTTTAACCAACTGTATATTCTTTTATTCTACATATGAGAATTAAAATTGGGGATCTGTATCTAGAAATGTCGTCTACACTTTTGAGTTTATATTAGAAACACTGCTTTGGTGAAATACCTTTTGCTGTTTTATGTTTGAATTATGAATAGAGAAGTTAACCACAACCATTGGCTACACTTAATTCAGAATTACTAGCAAAGACACAGATGAAAAAGTTATTCTAGATAACGGATCTCAGTGAACATCACTTTAGTGTGTGGACTTTTTCCACTATTACAGTGACAGCAGTTGACAATACCACGATATAAAGTAAATCTTTAAGACAGGAAAACAAATAGATTTAAAGAACATATTGGCCCTGAAACATTAATTATGCCTTAAATTACATATCCTACTCCTTGAGTGAATAAGTAGGTTTCCTAACTGTACCTATGTATAAAAGACCTTTGTTTGCACGCATTACAGGGATAAAAGCCTCAAGATAACTTTCACTGTCGCTTTTTGTACTCTCTCCATTGTTTTGGAGGAAAAATGAACATGAAACAACAGAAAGTGAATCGATCATAATTGTTCCTGGTTTGACAAATGCCAATCTTGCTGCATCATAGTGGAGAGAATTCCAAGGAAAAAAAGACCCAACTTCAGTCAATTAAAACGATTTAGAAAATGTTTTTGGAGAATAAAAAATTAGTTTTAAAAATACAAAAGCTGCCTAATCGATAGCTCTTTCCAGAAACAACGTACTTAGGTTTCTCAAGTGAGTAATACCTTAGAAATGCACTTCCTCCAGAGAAAAATCCCCACAAATAAATCTAATACTTAGTCGCACTTGTGGAACCAGATGAAAATGGAAACCCTTAAGGTTAACCTAATTGATGGAGCTCTAGAGCGAATCCAATTCCATCAGGCATTTGTTCGCAGTAGGTATCCTAAGGACTTGTTGCAATTGCGGAGCAGGCGCCCGTTCTAACGAGAGTTCACAGCCTTCAGGAGTGGGGCTGAGCAGGCGGCGCGGCCCGGTAGTTTACTTCCAGATTCAGGCGGAGCAACCGGTTGGGATGCGGGATCCAAGACCCGGGCAGTGCGGGGGCTTCGGGCTGGTGTACGGGTGGGCGGCGAGCCAGGTCCCGCAGGGAATAAGAGGCCCAGACCGCAGCGACCTCCCAAGCCCGAACGCGCCGTAACTGCACGGTCCCGACCTCAGAGTCCGCGCCTCAAGCCCCGCGGTCGCCCTCAAGATTCGGGGCGAGCACGGAGCGGGGGCGTCGGGCTCCGGACAGCGGAGGAGCCCGATGCCGACCTCCCACAACCTCAGCCCGGCCTTCGGGGGCCTTGCCCCACCCCCAGATCAACGAGTCTCCGCGGGCGGCGGGGCGGCCACCGGCCTCTGCTCACGGGGCGGCCGGTCGGCGGCGCGGGGACTACTTCCCGCGGCCCTCCCGCGCCCCGCCCCTTGTCCTCGCGCGGCGGAGTGCTCCGCGCTGCGCCGGCGGCGGCAGGATACAGCGGCTCCGGCGCGACTTATAAGAGCTCCTTGTGCGGCGCCATTTTAAGCCTCTCGGTCTGTAGCGGCCGTGTCAGCTCGGTCCGTGGAGCGGGGAGCGAGGGGAGGCGGAGGCGGAGGCGGAGGCAGGTTCGAAGAGCAGCTCCGTCCCCGCCGAGGCGTCCCCGCGGGCCGAGGACGGGCAGACTCCAGCGGCGGGAGGAGCCCGTTCCCTGAGGTGCTCGGGCGCCCCTTTCCCCGGCCCTTCCTGGGCTGCTCCCGCTCCCTCTTCGGGGACAAACTTCGTCGCGAGCGCGCGGTCCCGGCGGCGGCTGGGGGCCGGGCTCGGCGCAGCGCGGAGGCCCGGGGAGTGGGGAGCGGCGGGCTGCGACTGGGGGCGCCGGGGAGGCGGCGGGGCGGGCCGCGCCCGGGGGGCGGAGGGCGGCGGCCGGGTGCGAGTTCCGGCCGCGCTGCTCCTCCGGGGCTCCGGGGGCGCCGCTTTCTGGCGGCGCCAGCGCTCGTCGGAGCTCGATGGCCGGCGGGGTGGGGGGTGGCGCTGCGGTTTCTGTCCGGGGCTCCGGCCGCGGCTGAGTTTGGGGGAGGGACCCTACGCCTCGGGATGCGCCGGGGCCGGAGTTGGGGGCGGGGTGCGGACGGGGGAGGGGACTCCGCCTGCTCTGCCCCCCGGGAGCTGGGGCACCGGCGCTGGTTCTGGGACGCTACCCCAGGTTCCATCTGCCGGGCCGATTGGGCCAGAAGACTTCTTTCCCTCTTTCATTCTTGAGGACAAATTGTTACGAGAATTCTTTGGAGAATTACTATTATTTTATTAATGCCGTACGTGAGTTTGGCGCTGGTGTTTGTTTAAATTGAAGCAACTTACTTAAACCTTACAGGAACCAAACTATTAGTGCAGAAGGTGCGATGCGTCAGTAGGGTTTGCACACATCATATCCAGATCTTGCACCTCTGTTTTCTTGAATGGGGCTGATTAGTGAAAGCAGTGTGCAACGTTCTGGGAGTCTTAGTGGATTTATGGCGGTGGGTGTGAGACCCTAGTAAAAAAGGGCGGAGGCGAGGGCGACTGGCTTACTGTTATCAAGTGGACCGCGGAATTCAGCCTCTGACTGCTTCGAGAATTTTTGTTCGTATTCAAATAGTTTTATGACAGCTGAATTTGATTTTTTAGCACCTTAGTGATTTTTTTCTCTCTATGAAATTGGTCAAATGAAATTAAAGCATTTTAACTTCTTTCAGTGTTTTGTATGGAGAGAAAATTATGAACAGATACTTTCGAAGTTAAGTTTTCAAAGCCAGCGTCTGAATCCGCGAAGCGTGAAGGCTTTGGCAGTTGGGTGTAGTTGTTTCTTAGTTTTCTGTGCCCTTTTGGAGGGACCATTGTTTCATACTGTGTATCTTACAGACATCTGTGGTCTCCCCTCCCCCCGAATTTGTGAGTGGTGAATGAAGAGAGACTGGCTTGCTGGTATGCAGAGGTCGGCAAAAGGAAATCGAGGAGTGGTTTTAGTGAAATAAGAGCTTTGTATTAAGAATAGTGGTGGCTTAGACTAGACATCAACTTGATGAGACAGCTATCCTTTGATAAAGTCTAGCCTTATGTTTTTCAGATCGCCAAGTTACAAAGTATTTTGTCTAGAATTTAGGAAGCTATTTCGTTATTGTCACTTGGTGAATATTCAGTACCTTCAGAAGTCTTAAACTTCATCCTAAGAAATAATAGACATAGCTTGACATTAGACGTTATTTACGTAATGCTGTTTAATATCTGCTTGAATTAGTGTAAACTTCTACTTTGGAAAGTTTTTTTGATCTGAACTAAATAAGGCTGCTGCTTATTATATTCGTTTTACGTTTAAACCCACAAAATCTCTAGATTAAAAAAACCCCATTAAGGTTTACTTGAGAAATCTTATCACAAGGCTTGATTAATTTTCACCCAATATTCATTAGTTTGACCCAGTCTTTGTTCTGAAGGCCATGTACAAGGACAAGGCCCTAAAGTGATTGCAACAGTAACTTGAAAAACTTGTAGAAGACTATTGTATAGGATTAAAGGAATACTGAAACTGTTGAGGTCTGAAGTACTTGAAAGAGAAATAAAAGAACTGCACTAGAAAGTTTAGTGTATAGTGTGTAACTTAGAGTCCTAGGTTCGATTCTCCTGGAGGCCAGAGTAGTCATTTTAAATAGCTTTCAGGAAAAACCACAAACTTTTAAAATAAGGTGGTTAATTAAAAAAAGAAATTTTTAAAGACTGTTTCCAATAAACAGTCAAGAGTTTTGAAATGTATTTTGACTACTTCCTTTACCAATATTTATGTAGGGAAATGTATATTCCAGTATTAAAACAAACTGTGAATTGATCTTCTTACTATTACAACTGGAATAAAAATTGTCCATATAAATGAGTTCCGTAGCTTCTGTTCATAGACACTTCTCTCTCCAAGGAGGAAAGGAAAACATGAAGTAGGCGAATTTATCTGAGGGTATTTTAAGATGTGCTTAGGAAAACTGTCTTCAGATAACCTTTTATATTGTTGGGAGTGTTGGGAAGAGGAGTAAAGTGTTGCTGAGACTAGGGACATTGGAGAATTCAAGTTTGAATATCACTCTTACATAGTGTGAAGGGCTAGTGAAGTTTAAAGGTCAGAAATGGACTAGGTAAGTATAGTGAGGCAAATGAAACTTTGTTACCGAACAATACATCTGCCCAGTTACACCATGATTTTGTTTCTCTTTCATGCTTTTACTAGTTGCTGATAATAGTTGGAGATGAGTAGGTGATTCCAAGTTTGTAATTTGAGCTTGGTCAGAAGCATGCTAACCCAGCACAGAAAGGATGAGTGCTTTTAAAGCACGACAGACTTTTAATAAAAAGTATTGGCAACTCTTTTGTACTGCTGCATGTTGACTTAAAAAGCAGTTGTATTAGTTTTCTTGTAGCCCTCTTTTTATTGGGAATAAGATACCTTTTGCTTAAATAGCTTGATTAAAAGCATTTTATACCATTTTTATACCAAGTAAATAGTAAACAGTGGGGGAGCTGCTTCTGAGTAGTCCAAAGCATGTAGCTATTGCCTCTTTTACCCTTATTGAGAGGATACTGATTTGCAGAAATTAGTTTTCGTTCCTTAACAGACTGTTGTTTATGTAATACTGTTCTTAATTGTGTGATAGATAACTATTCAGCTAAAATAAATAGATACTTTTAAGTTTCCAGAATGGAAAACTTGTGTTGATTTGTACATGATTTGTGTTGCTTGAAAATTAGTTACTCTTAAGATTTTTTATCACTTAAACTCGATATCACTTAAACTCGAGAGAGTTCTTTATTTTCTGTTTATTTAAGAATGCTGCTTTTCTTGCATGTCTGAGCTTGACTCAGTTTGAAACCCAGATCCATCTGTTGAGGCCTGAACCCTGCAGTCCTTGAAGTATGTATATAATATGCTTTCTCCTTAAGGAAAAAGTAATTCTTAAAAGAGAAACTCTTTTTTAGGAACCCTTTTGTAGAGTTTAAGTGTCTTTTTTGAATTTAATTGTGCACATCTCTTTTAAGAGACTTTTTCTCTTTCCACCCCCAAAGTTCCCTCAAACCCAATACAGCAGTCATAGTGTTAAGGCATGTTTTTACTGCATGCTTTAGTCATGTTGAGTGCCCTCTAGCGGATATAAGGAATGTAATGCTTGTGATTCCCCCCTCCCCCAGCAAGTTTGTGATGAGAAAGCATCAATCAAGAAAAACCATTTGAATTCGAGATTTATTCATATCAATGATGCTAACTGAAAGGTTGGCTTGAGAAAATGTCATCTCAGCCAATATTTGCATGAGAAAGGTCAGAGTTAAATTAGGGATTAAATATTATGTAAGTCACTTTAAATAGGCAGTTCTTAAATATATCATAATGATAAACCAAAAACTCAATATAATGATTTGGGAGTAAATGATCATAATGTTTAACCATATTAGCGAGTTATAGCAGCCAAAATTCTCAGAAAAAGTTAAGAAGTGAATTGCCAGTTTGTCTAAAACCAATTACACAGGAAAACATGAGTTAAGTATTCAACCCAGTTAAATTATCAAGGAGTATTATGTTTGTGTTAGGAACTAGACAGAAACTAAGCTAATTGAGTCAGTGTATATGAACTCTAGAATACAATGCCCTAGTGACCATAGGGTCTCATTGTATTGAGTTGTGAGCTATGATGCACCAGTGTTTTGTCCCATAAAATTTTCAACAAAAACCTTGTTCTTATGTTAAAGTTTGTGCTATCTCTGTTGGTAATACTTTATGAATATGCATGTTTCAGATCAGTTCTTATTAATAACAGGGATGAAGTGTATTCTAAATTCGCTTTTGGAAGTCAGAGTCATTTTATGAAATTTCTCAGAGTTTAGACATTTTCTTAAACTTTGTTTTTCATAATGGGTGCGTGAAATGAAATGTACAAGTTGACATAGTTGGCTGGGGGGACAATATCACTTAACTGCTCTTTGCTCTTGAAATTCAGTGTAATTTTGTGATAACACTGATAATGATTTTTTACTGTTTAAGAAATCATTATTGCTATATCTAGCTTAATTTTTTTAATGAGAAGGCAAGAATGCCTCAAGTTTTTTATGTAAATAGTTATTTCAGAATGAAATGTGTTGCCGTATAAAGGATCTTATTTGGGATTAGTAATGTCCACGGTGATTCTTAGTATTTGCAGCATTGACTAGTCAGATAGCTTTGGTTCTAATTTTCCAGGATTTTTATGAGATTTGAGAGTAGATTTGAAGGTTCTTTTAAAAATGTATGTACAGCTTATTGAAAAATTCTACCTATTAGGGACTTAATTTATCTCTTGCAATTAGCTACTGTTCTTCATTAATAGTACACACAAAATTTGACATTTAAGATAAGTGACAAGTGAAACTGCTTTCACAGGTCATACAGGTTTGGCCTTACAGTACAACAAAAATGGTTCATCAGTGTTCCCAGTGTCGGGCTGGTATGGGGTAACTGGGACCCTCTGGACTACAACCAACTGGAGAGCATATCTTCATCAGTTCCAGTATAGTTCATGTTGCCACATCATCTGATTTTCTTTTTCTTTTTTTCTGAGAGAAGTAGGAAATACAGATTAATGTGGATTTGTTGCTTTGCAAGTGTCGGCAAATGAAATTCATGTTTTAAGACATTTTTTAACATAGATTAAATGAATTTTTTGGCA